ATTTTTGGAAATAAATTTGTTACTGTTGGTGTTGGAAAACACAAAAAAGCAGATGGGAATGTGTCAAGCACTCCTAACAATATTTTGCACATTAAAAATAAAATAAATAAAATAAAATAATTAAATAAATTAAAATAATATAAAATACATTACAACAGTATGCACACACAGGTACTTCGCTCTGGTGGTCCTGCCCCCAGGCAAAAACACAGGAAGAAAATACTGCGAAATCCCTGGATGTCGCTTGCTCACGTGACCATGTGAAAGTGAAGGTCGTAAGCACACATAGCTTCCGGATCCCGAATGTCAGTCACATGACCGCAGAGGCCTTATGATGGCCAAAAACGCCAGAGTGGCCGAATGTTGGTCATGTGATTACAGGGACCAGTCGCAATCACGCAGTATTTTTTAAATACTGTTGTTACTTTGAACAGATGATAAGCAAATGGTCGTAAGTCAAGGACTACCTGTATGTCTTTTTTGTCAGGTTCAGCCCAAGAATCACACAAGAGAGTCCGGAAATCAGCTCAGCTTCTTTATTAGCTTGCACCTAATAGACAGAATCTCGCCAGACTAACTCTAATTCCCCAACAAGAGCAACTATAACCATCAAGCCCTTAGGGAGGAGCCAGTCTCTTCCTCCTTACTGTCACACAGTCCAGCTGGGGGCTGAGGAGATGCTTAGAATGTCACTCCCCCTCCCTGTAACCTTGGAGTTTCCTTCCAGAATCTCCCCTGCTCAAGCCTTCCACCACATCTTTGTTATAAGCCTAAGGAGAAGAAGTGTCATGTTTGCTACTGACTTTACCCAAGACTGAGGATCTTTTCAGCTCAAGAGCAGAGAAAACAATTAATTAACAATAACTCAGTAAGAATTCAGTGGCCATTGACTGTGCACTATTTCATAACCTGATCATTTCAGGAAGCCTTTCCATTGCATTTTAATCTCACAATTAAGTCCTACAGACAACTAGTTTTATATTAAATTTTAGCTGTATTCCAAGGCTTCAGTGGCTTTGTACCTCAATGTCCAGAAATCCTTGTGAGCGAATGGTACCATGGCTGGGAGAGATGGTAAATTCCTTGGGCCTTGCAGATGCAAATGATGCCTTTCTCCATGTTAGCTTTGAGATGTCAGAGGCTTGATCTTGACTCCTAATACTTGGCTCTCCATTACCATCTCCTGGGACACGGAGGCTGAAAGTCATGGGCACCAATGAAGTGTTGCTGAGGCAGCAGGACAGAGTTTGAGGGAAACCTGGAAGATAGATAACAGATTGTAAGTGAACTGAATGAGGGGCCTGAAAAGGACCAAGGCCACCCTACCCACTTTATGTGAAGTCAATTTTTTCATCCCAGTATAGGCCTTGATATCTTGCATCCTTTAGGGTAGTGGGACAGAGGGCAGCTATTAGGAGGCAAAGCTCAAGAATTACAATAGACGGAACCAAGGATGAAAGCCGGTGTGGTGTGGTGTGGTGTGGTGTTTAATGGGTCCATCCTTGGCCAAGGAAGCTCATTAGGTGTCTCTGAGCCAGTCATTTCCTTCATAGTAGCATTTTTTGACCAAATAAGGTTTGGGAGTTTAATACATATAAGCCAAAAGGCAGGGTTCCTGGCATGTCTGACCATAGCCTGCCCTCAGATTCCTGCTATATCTCCCCCTGCCCATCAACATACCAATAATGCACCCCCACCCTCATATCTTCCCCCAATCTGTCCTGCTCCTGGCCCGCCCATCCATACCTCCCAACCCCCCAGCACCACACCCATATCGTATCAAGAATCAACAATAGAAAGTGAACCAAACACCCATCCTTCACCACCACCCCTGCTGGCGGGGCCTGATCCCCCTATGGTCCCAAGGCCCCACCAGCTGTGAAGCATCTGGGCCTCCCAGGGAGCCCCCATAGCCATGGTCACCCCTTCAACCCAGTCCAAAATCCAGGATGCAGAGTGGGGCTTATAGCAGAGTTCTCCATAACCTTAGCCCACCCTCGGCCTCCAGACCCCAAAACCAGGATGCACTGGTCTGTAACTCTGCCATCTCTGTCACTTTCCTTGTTGGTAGCGCTGCCATGACCAGTCAACTCCAGGACCATTCCTCCTCCTCCTCCAGCTATACCAGCCATAAGGACAGAAAAGAGCCCTGCAGGTCCTTCTGATCTTGCAAGAGAGGTCCATCAGGCACCTCCAGGAAGACCAAACAGAATGCAAGAGCAACAGCAACCTCCCTCAACCGAACAGTGGCATTCAAACCAACCATATCAGATAGCTTTCCAAGGTTTTCTTCTGTGAACTAGAGCTGTTTTAAGCCACATCTGTCAAATGCCATTAGCTCCACTTGTAATGAAAGTAACTCCATAACTATCTTGACCAGAAAATACCAATAGACACAAAAATTAAGCTGTGGCTGACATCTTTGCAAAAAAAATTACACACTTGAACAGAAAGTGAGATCAGGAAAGCAGCAGCAGCACTACTTTTCTGGAGGACAATGAGGAGGGGACACTTTTCTGCTTGGGACTGGAAAGGATATTGGGGGAGATGAGTCCTCAAACAAAATCCTTACCGAAGGAGACATCCCCAAAATTGAGGGATGGGACACTGAAATGAAATGTTGGTCCGATGACACAGCCCCTAAGATGAGAAACAGAGAAATTTTTAAAAATGCAAACCATGCCATCCCAACAGAGGTAAGAGATGTTGTTGTCCAGAACATCCATTGAGCCTGCCAGATGCCCAGTAGAATGAGTTCCACTGGAACATTTTACGGAAAACAGAATCTCCATTCTGGTTCATTCAACTGTAATTTTTTCTTGTCACAAACCATACATGCATCCATTCATTAACACACAGTGCATATGCCTCTGTGAACGTTGGTCTCTCTTAATAAATAGACTAGCCAATGCACAAGAGGCTTGGGGCTTACCGAATCACTAAGATCACAGGCTGGGGAGATCCGTTCACATTGAACTTAAACTCTTCAAAGAAGTGACCCAGGACAGTGGAGCTGAAAGTAATGTGAATGGCCTGATGGCCACCTGGCACAATGATTCCTTCGCTGGGCTGAAAGGTAAAACAGGCACCCAGCACAGTGGAGGGCCACATCAGGTTGAAGAGGGCATCAATAGCTCCTTGGTTAGATAAGATGGCCTGGCACAGAGAGAAGGGATAAAAATGAGCAGGGAAATAGCCTGGAGTTTCAAGAACCAAACGTTGTACCTTTGAGTTAAATTCTAAGCTGCATAAAAAGCCTCAATTCAAAAGTATCCGCTTCAGTTCAATTAGAGTGCATTAGAGCTGGCCTGACCCAGTCAACTTTTGTTGTTGGTGGTTCTGGCAATTACATTCATGGTAATTGAACCCCAAACTTTTTTTTTTTGCAGGAACTGCCTAATATCCCATGAGCACACTGCCCAGGCTTCTTGTCATCACCTGCCCCTTCCCTGAAAGGCAGACCCCAATTATGGCCTTCCAAAGACTTGTAAGGACCTGATTGGTTCATAATACATTGAGACATTCATTACTATTGGTGCAAATGCGGGTTTTTACATACACTGCTGTTTATATATATTTAATGCACTACTTTTATGGATTTGCACTGATAATTGGTTACTGTTGCTCTGATGATGTACGCTACTCAGCCATTTAAACTGAAGCAGTATCTAAATTTGACAAGTAAATAGATAAATAAAACTTGTGATCCACTCACAAACAAGCCAACACCATTTGGCAATGACTCCGAATGGACACAATAGAGGGAAGACAATGAGGACAGCCAATTTTATAATAGCATTATGATGTGTTGATTTAAAGATGGGCAGATAGTACTTTAGCTCAATAGTGGGGAAAGGGCCTGAAAGAAAAGAGTGAAGGACAGGCAGAAGAAAAGAAGTTAACACTTTAAAAGGGAAATAAAATAAATTCCATTCTCCTCCTAATTTGTTCACTTAGATTTCTTGAGAGTTTGCTCTACAAGCTTGACCAATATACTACAAGAGGCAAGAGAATCTTAAAATTTAAGACAGGGAAATCCAAATTCAAATTCTTGCTTAACTATGAAGCTGACCAGAATACTCTCTCAGCTGAAACTACTTCACGCAGAACAGCAAACACAATTTTGTCTGAGAAAGCAGGGCATTGTAACAACTGAACTCACCTCATAACTGTGGTCTGATCCAACAAAAATTTTCCCAACATCCAGCTGATCAAAGTTGAAAAGTAGCTTGGGGCCCATTGCCTCCCCCTTGATACGCAGAGGGAGCCTGGTCTCTCGGCCTGTAGAAATGATAACTCATCTTCAGGAAATTAATGATGGCACAACTCTTTAAACCCAAATTGGATTTTGCTGAAACACTCCTCTCTCAATACACACAGGAGGTCACATGCTAGACCTGGTTTTTGTCTCGGGGCATACCCAACAAGATCTAAAAGTCAGGGCACTGACCCTTGCTGTGCACAAATCACTATCTGATTGCCTTAGCCCACCCTC